GTAAGTATTTTGGAAGGAGTTAAAAATCAGAATGAGACTGATTTGCTAAAAGGGTTTCGGTCTTTTTAAGTGGTGAGATTCAATTACTGATCTTTGCAGTTGGCGGTCTTAATTGCTCTATTTTTTTCAGCTTTCTCATCTTTTTGGCCATTTTTTTTACGTACACTGTAATTTTCTGTTCTGGGGAAATATGTCAAATCGGCGATAATTATAGTTTGTGAAACAGTTCAAAATCCTTACTTAAAAATGTCTTTTTTTAACTTTAACTCGTGAACTATAATGATAAAAATAAAACAAGGTGAAATGTGTGTTATTTCCAAAGATATGATTTTGTCCAGAAAAAAATGGAGATTTCAATGCAGCCGCAAGTAGTGTGCCATCGCATATTTCAAATATATTTATTTATATTCGCCTGTGGACAGGGTGAAAAGTCAGGGCATATTTCGTATATATTTATATACATACCCGCAAGCACGTGCATGTGTATATATACAGACATAGGTATATATAATATATATATATATATATATATATATATATATATATATATATATATATATATATATATATATATATTATATATATACATATATATATTATATATATATATATATATATATATATATATATATATATATATATATATATATATATATATATATATATATATATATATATATATATATATATATATATATATATATATATATATATATATATATATATATATATATATATACGTGTGTGTGTGTGTGTGTGTGTGTGTGTGTGTGTGTGTGTGTGTGTGTGTGGTGTGTGTGTGTGTGTGTGTGTGTGTGTGTGTGTGTGTGTGTGTGTGTGTGTGTATATATATATATATATATATATATATTATATATATATATATATATATATATATGTATGTATGTATGTATGTATATGTACATATATATATATATATATATATATATATATATATATAATATATATGTGTGTGTGTGTGTGTGTGTGTGTGTGTGTGTGTGTGTGTGTGTGTGTGTGTGCGGGTGTGTACGTGTGCGTGTGCGTGTGCGAGTGCGTGTGCGTTTGCGTGGGCCTGTTGCGTGTGCGTGGGCCTGTGCGTGTGTGTGTGTGTGTTTATATATATATATATATATATATATATATATATATATATATATATATATATATATATATATATATATATACATATATATACGCATATATATGTGTGTGTGTTTATATATATGTGTGTATATATATATATATAATATATATATATATATATATATATATATATATATATATATATATATTGTTCGTTACGTTACATTCTATACCAGAGGTCATTTTCTGTAATTGTGGACTTACGGTTTCCTCATTTTGATGCAAGATGGGCATCTTTTGCCTGACACTATATTCCTAGTGACTACGGCCTCGGAAGTTAATTCATATGAGCGTAAAAGGGAGTGACATGAATGTTTAAAAGTGACACACATTTCCTAAAACGGACGCGTATCATATTTTGTATCAATAAATTTCCTATGTTAACATCATCATCATTGGTATTATTATTATCATTGTTATTGTTATCACTATTATTGATTTTGTTCTCCAAGGCAAATACACTGCATTGAAGAAGTTGACCGTCAGTTTCTGCACATTTATTATTTACACAACTATCCGAGGGGATGTTAAGAAAGAAGGGAAGAGGGGAAGGAGAGGGATAAAGGGAGTGGGAAGGAGAAATAAGAGAAAGGGAAGATGAGAAAAGGGAGGGGAAAAAAAGAAAAAAAGGGAGAACATAAGGGGAAAGGAGAGGGGATACATAGGAAAAAGTTTATGGGAGACGGAGGAGAAAGGATAAGGGAGCGAAGGAGGTGGAGGAGTTTAAGGAGGAAAAGGAGGGAAGTGGGAGAGCCCATGTTTAAGGGATAAAGTGGAAAGGGTGTGCTGAATTTAAGGAAGATTTGGTGGTGAAAGGGTAGCATAGCGGAAAAGGGAAAATTAGGAGAGGGAAAGGAAAGAGGGGAGGGGAGAGGTAGGAGGAGAATGGAGGAAGAGAGGATTACCCTTTTTTTACAAACACACACACACACACACGCACACACACACATGCACACACACACACACACACAACACACACACACACACACACACATACACACCAGTTTTTAATCATGAAAGTGGAATGTACAATTTCTTGACCTCTTCATGCCGTTTCCTGAATCTTGTAATCATAGAACTGCGAATGCATTTTTCCTTTTCTTTTTCTTGTCTCTCCTTCCCATTTCCTTTCACTTTTTTCTTTTTTTTTTTCTTCTTAAATCAACTCCGCTTCCTCTTTCGTCTTCCTCTTTTTTCAGTTATTTTATGGTTCGATGTTTCTGTGCTGTCTAAGTTATTTACTTTTGTTTGTTAGTTCATTTTTGTTATTTTCTTATATTTACTTTCTCTCTCTTCTTTCTCTCTTCTCTCTCTCTCTCTCTCTCTCTCTCTCTCTCTCTCTCTCTCTCTCTCTCTCTCTCTCTCTCTCTCTCTCTCTCTCTCTCTCTCTATCCAATCTATCATAGATATGATAGATAGATAGATAGATATAGATATATAATATATACATATGTGTGTGTGTGTGTGTGTGTGTGTGTGTGTGTGTGTGTGTGTGTGTGTGTGTGTGTTGTGTGTGTGTGTGTGTGTGGTGTGTGTGCCGCGCGCGTGCGTGTGTGTGTTTACCCCCTCATCCCCATCCCCTTTTCCTCTACCTTCTGCCCCACCTTCTCTCCCCCTTCCTTCTCCACTCTCCCCCCCTCCCTCTCCCCTTCTTCCCCTTCTTCCCTCCCACTCCCCTTCTTCCCCTTCCCTCTCCCCCCCCCCCCCGCCCCTCCCTCCATTAAAGATGAATATATACCTCAGTTAAACCTGTATTGTTCTAGGCGAAGGATAATCCAAAAGGAATTTAAGAAGAGAAACGGACTTCAAAATTCTTGTGCTTATCGATTCGCCACAGTCATTGGCTCGTGCTCTCCGGCCGGCACCTGTCTTCTGGCCCTTGTTCTGGTTCTGCCTCTTCGTCTTTTTCCTTGTCGTTCTTCTTTCTCTTCTTTATCTTCTTTGTTTTTCTTTGTTTTGTTTTGTTTTTACTGATTCTTATTTTTCTTCTTTTTCTTATTTTTATTCCTCTTTTTTTCTTTTTCTTTCTTTTTTTCTTTTCTTCTTCTTCTTCTTCTTCTTCTTCTTCTTCTTCTTCTTCTTCTTCTTCTTCTTCTTCTTCTTCTTCTTCTTCTTCTTTTTCTTCTTCTTTTTTTTCTTCTTCCTCGTCTTCTTCCTTTTCCTTTTTCTTCTTCCTTTTTTGCACTTTTTTTGGTTCTTCTTTTGCCGTCTTTATCTTCGTTAGTATTACCATTATTGTTGTTGTTCCTGCTTTTATGACTATTCTTATCATCCTAATCATAACCACTATCATCATAATCATTATTGGTTGTCATACTTTATTATTCTTTATCATTATTATTATCATTATAGTTGTTTTTGCTCATTTAAGATCGTTTTTACTCTATATTTATCATCATTATCATCGTTATTACTTTTCTCTCATTCACCCTCCTCCTTCCCTATACTTTATTGGTACATTCTTCTTTTTATGTCTCTTCTTCTCCTCATCATCTTGGGTTGGGCACAAGTTGTAAAAGAGATAGCAGGTGAGGAGAGGGAGAAAAGAAGGGAGAGGGAGAGAAAGAGGAAGAGGGAGAAGGAGAAAAGGAGGAGGAGGAGAGGGAGAGGGAGAGAGATGAGGAAAAAGGAGGAAGAGAGAGAGGGAGAAGGAGAGGTAAAAGGAGGAGGAAAGGGAGAGGAAGAAGGAGGGAAAGAGAGAAAGAAAAGGAGGAAGAGAGAGAGGGAGAAGGAGAGGTAAAAGGGAGGAGGAGAGGGAGAGGAAGAGAAGGAAGGGGAGGAGGGAGGGAGGGTGTTTGTGTAGAGGAAGGGGACATGGTTGGGAGAGGAGAGAAGAGATAGGAAGGGGGGGGGGGAGACGGGATGGGACGGAGAGAAGGGAGGGAGGGTGGATAGGGGAAGGGGTGGGAGGGGGAGAGGGGGGGTGGGGGGAACCAAAAGCATCGCCGCCTTAACCGATTTTCTTCTTCAAACAAACCGAACCGAATCATTTTATCATAAAACACGTCTATCCATTATCAAAAAAAAAAAAAATGTTGCAGCCGTAAACTCAATTACCCCCCCCTCCCCCCTCCCACCCCCCAAAAAAGTCTTAAAAATGCGATTAGCTGCTAGTTAGAGTGAGACTGCGAAATCGAGGCTAATCCTAATATTAAGAGCGAGTCCTAATTGAGTCTCGGGAAAGAGGCTGCAATTAGAGGCCGTTCAATCACAGGAGAGACGAGTTGGCTGAGCCGGCGGAGCCCAAGGTCGGAGGACGATAAAGATTTTTGTTATTTATGTTCGATTTATTTATTCGTGTATTTTTAGGGGTCTTGGATTTTTTTTTCATCATTTTTTTTTTCGGGTGGTGTGGTTTTTTTTGTTTGTATTATGTGTACAGACATTTTTTTCAACATTTATGAAAAAATCATTATCATTATAATAATATTATTATTAATTGATATTATTATATTATTATTATTATTATTATTATTATTATTATATTATTATTATTATATTATTATTATTATTTTATTATTTTATTATTTTATTATATTATTATTATTATTATATTATATATATTATTATATATATATATTATCATATATATTATAATATATATCATATATATATCATCATTCATTATTATCATTATCATTATATATATTTCATCATACCACCCTCATCATCATAATCACAATTATCACAATTATCATCTTCACCAGTTGGTCAGAGATTAATCATTCTTCTGAGATCTTCGTCTCAAATATTATGTTGCAGGAGACGTAGCTTACGATTCTCGACAACGGAGATATTTTCATGAATTCCTCATGTGTACAATATTCTGGTTTTATGTTTTGTTTGACTGGACG